GCAGAGCGGACAGGCAGCAGCAAAAAATTCATTACGATTTCGATTTAAGTTGAATAATTATTTATCTAGATAATGCTACTCATTCGGCACTGGGTCCGCGCTCTGTCTGTGATTCATATCAGCGCAATTGCAGGCGTGTCAGCCCCTGCCACTGCCACTGCTGCTGCTGCTGCTGCTGCTCCTTCGACTTGTGGCTGCAACAATCTCAAACAGGCCAGCCAAATGGCAATGGCCGCAGACGACTGACACAAAACAAATAGACTGTCAGTTTACGTAGCCTTTTGGTATGACTAAATGTGGCTGTGATTGTGCCTGCTGCCTGCCTTTTTGGGGGAGCTCTCTTTGTACGTTCCGAAACAGCCGCGTCGGTGGGTGTATTGACGATAATCGCAGGTAATTGCAGCAGCAGAAGGGCAGGAGGAGTTGCTGTAATTGATGGCAAAGGCAACTGGCTAATGATAAGCGGACACTTCCTGCCAGCAATGGCCACGCTTTAGCCGCAGAAATCACCTCCACAAATGCAGAAATCAAAGCAACTTTAGACCAAGAACTAAACTGCAGCTGATGTAATGCCAAGATTAATGTCACAATGGCTGAACTCTGGAATGGGACCCACCAGCAGCTGCACCTGTCAGCTGTTGGAGCTGGAGCAGCAGTCCCTCCGCTGCCATGCTTGGCATATTTTGCCAGCTAAAACGATGCAATTACAACTCGCCGGCTGCACACGACATGGCATATCGTCTGATTTGCAGCAGATATAGGAGCCCGGCACTCAGCATAAATAATTAAAAATGCGTGAAAATGTTATCATTATCGGGAGACAGACACACACCAAGAAGGAGCGCAAATAAATCAAAGCCAGCAGCTCAATTGAAAAGCAAACAAAAACAGCAACAAAATAATATTATGTCTACGTGTAGGGTATGAATAAATAAAGGAAATCGGCCGGGGCACAACGGCAAATTTGAGGCAAGATTTATGTGGCCATAAAGGCGATTAGAGAGACCAAGTGAAAAACGTCAAAAGACAAAATGTGCTAAGGGGAAACGGTGGAAAAGCCAGAGAGACACAGAGTCCGAGGTACTGGCATCCCATGTCCAAGTCCAGTTTGCACTTTACACGATTTTGTAATTTATTTCTGAGGCTCTACGATTGTCGGCACATTCTAATGGGCAAGGTGCTGCGGCATAATTCACGGGGGAAGTTTGCTGCCGCTGCCGCTGCCGCTGCTGTGGCATGTGTTGGTTGCCGGAGTCTGCTGTGTGTGTTTTTGCCACTGGCTGTGTTCACACTTCCAATTGCCAATTTGCATTTTTTTGGCATACGTAATGCAGGTACAGCAAGAGCAAGAGCAAGAGCAACAACAGCCAGGCATAAATCAGAGCCACGTTTAGGAACTTATCGCCCGCCAGCATCTCCGGCTGGCAATTCATCTCGCACTCAATTTCCATTCGTTTTGTATTTGCTTACGCGGCGCATAATTAATTCCATTTGCACATGCAAGCCATTGCGCATACAGAGCTTAGAGCTGGCAGCGTGACACGAGGTAACGCTTTAAGGAATAATTGTGCCAGCCGATTTATCTCCTGCACATGTGTGTGCCCGGCTCACGCTGCCATCGCTGACCGCTGCACTCGCTCATAGCTGAACTTATCTGCTGAAGTGATTTTGCGGAACGCCCCATTTGAAATTGGTCTCCCCGCCCCCCGCCCCCGCCCCACTCCGCATGTGGGTGTCTGCCAACGGTAATCGAACCGAGGCCTGGGAAGCCACCTCACACCACAGATCCGACTCCAAAGCCATACGCAATTTTGAGTTTCAGTCTCGCCTATTGATGCCGTTGATGTGTTTTGACTGGTGCGCTGATTTACGGCCAGCGCCTGCCGAGCGGCAATTTGTTTGGCCGCCAGACGCAGCCGCAGACTCGGACTCAGACTCAGACTTAGACTCAGACTCGGATGCACTGAGAGGAAGAGGAGGAGGAGTTGCTGGTGGCGGCTTAGACTTGACCAAGGCCAGACGCGGGAACTGCGAACACCGTAGGCAAGAAGGCAAATTAACGCGCCAGTCGCCACATAACTTGCCGTACGCATAAAACATGTTAAGTAATCAATTGCCGGCCCAGCACGGAGGGAGGATCAGCAGCCAGCAGCCAGCAGCCAACATATGCGCCATACTCTCTGTGCAGTAGTGGCCCAAGTGTTCATGGCCAATGCCATTGCCGCATGGCTGCAGGGGACAAACAATTGCCGCATTTTTAAGGGCCTCAAACACGTGCAACTCGTTGTCGTCGCTGCCCGTTCGTTCTCCTTCTGCTGCGCTGTGGCAACTTCAAAGTATCCTGCGGCATAATGCGCTTAATAAACCATGAATCACTGTCCAAGAGGAGGCTGTCAGAGAGCAGGCCAGACGGCTGTGTCCTCAGCTGCGTCTGCCGAGTGCCGACTGCCTACAGACGGGGCAACATTGATTTTGTCACGACGCAAACACTTTAAAGGCAATTGCTGAAGTGCGCTGCGTCCACGTTCAGTAAATGATGTGCGCATGTGATAAAGGGCCCCGACGGTAGGCAGACCCAAGTCCAAGTCCAAGCCAAGTCCAAGTCCAAGTTCGCCAAAGACCCCGAGACAGTCCCTTGTTTTGGCCGGCTGTTGTCGCTGTTGCTTGAGTGGCATAAAAAACGACTTGCACTTGGACTTGAACATGTTCTCCCGTCTCGACTCTCCTCCCTGCAGCTTTTCCTGCCACTGCCTGCTACTCCCACTCCTTCCTCCACTTCGTAGCGCTCTCCATGGGGCCATCAACATTCTCAGGTGCGCCTGCGCGGCCTTTGTTTCGGCCATGGCCATTGGGCATTGGCAAAGTTTTGTCGAAATTCGTCTCTACACCTGCACGGAAAGAAAAGGCAGCAGCACACTCTTTGGCAACATCCAGCAGATTGGCACTGCAATTTCTCTCAGTGGTTTTATTGGCCAAACCCTAAGCCCACCATTGAGCTAGTTAAGTTGTTAGCTGGGCCCCAGGGAACGGGCCTGAGTTTGGGCTTGGGATTTTCAGTTGCAGTTCGCCTGTTCGGCTGTTGTTCCCGGCAAAGCATCATTAATCAGCTCGGGTTCATCAGCGGCAACATGGTTCATTAGCTTTGGTTAGTTGCGCCTCATGTTGCTGCAGTTGCAGTTGCAGTCGTAGTCGTAGTTGTTGCTGTGCCCGTATGGCAGTGGCGACGGCGGCGAACTCCTGTCGACGATTCTAATCATAAGGCACAGAGCAGAGGCAGCAGGACTGGGACTGGGAATGGCTCTCCGCCGCCGCTAGCCAAGTTAATTGGCTAGAAGTTTTGCATAGACACAACAGAGTTTCAGACTATGGCTTTGGCGGCAAAATGTGAATCAGCAAGCAGCGTCTGCTGTTGGCTTATTTGGTTGCAGCAACAACTGCTGGCTTTATCAACATCAGGCCAGAGTCTCAGATCCCGCTGTTTGTGTTGTTGTTGCTGTGTGCCATATGCCTTCCACACGGATTTGCATGTGGCAAACGTTTTTTGTCTCTCTTCTACATTACGGCGCAGGGCCGCAGCTAGACTCAGAGTCGAAGTCGAAGTTTTAGCTGCTTGGCAGTGATCTTGTCGTAGCGAGTCACGTCCGATAATGTTGACAGTTTCCAGCTGCTTTGGCAGCTACTGTTGAATGCTACTTGGCTCTGCTCTCCACATGCAAGTCGAAGTCGAGTCTCGTCGTGGCTGTGTGTAAGCGTGGGAAACGACTAGGCCGGGCCAGGCCGCATGCTGCTTCTGGATATGTTTACACTCACCCATCAAAAGGGAGAAGACAGCTGTCACAACATCAAACAAAGTAAAAATCGTTGCAGTTGTGGGCCAAGTTATGGCCCCATCTCGCAGTACACCGTTGACAAATCATGTTGGCAGCCAACAAGTCTATCAAAACCTGGCAACATTTGCATCTGGCAGGAGAGCGGGACAGCAGTATCATCCCGATACCCAACACTAAATTGAGCGGCTACTGTGTTCCGCGACGACAGGATGCATAAAATTTATGAAACAACGACGCCTTTGCGCACATAATTAAATCAGACAAAGCGCAGACCATGTAAATCCAGTCCAGACCCGGTTCTGGCCCAACCCACAAGCACACCACACACACACACACGTGAGGATGGATGCACATCACCGGATGCTGGGCGAAAAAGAAATGCAGCTTGACTATTTTTAATTACCGGGGCAACAACATCTGCAGCTGCCAGCCCACAGAGGGGTTGTCCAAGTAATTGTTATAGTCCATGTGGGGCTGCTGCAGTTTGGGATTGGGCATGCCGCATGCGAATCAATTACATATTACAGAGCCGCCGTCGACGTCGCAGCGATTAACTGCAGTGACTTTATAGAACTGTTCAACACTAACCTGTTCGAACGTTGAGCCGCCGCAGCCGCCGCCGCTTTCATTAAAGTGCAAATTATGACTTGCCAGTTCCGCCAGGTGTTGTGGCCGCCTGGCCTATTTGTCTTGAGTGCTTGCTGGCTCTCCACGGATGCTACGCGAATAGTGGCGGTAGCCCACGGAGCTAAAGCGTTTAAGCCGCTGCCAAGTCGCAAGTCGCCTGCCCGTGCCCTTTCATGTATTAAGTTATCAACGCAGTCGTCACAGCAGCTACATACATATTATTTACCGCTCTTACTAATTGCCACCTATGCGGATTTCGTGTTGTAAATTATTTGCTGACTTTTCTTTTGCGAGGGGGAGGATGGTGGTAAATCTTCAACGCCTGCAGTAAGATGGCAAGTAAATGGGAATTTAGACGTTTCAAGTATTCCAAGCAGCAATTTATGCCAAACTGGAAATATGTGCTGCAAACTAAACTAATCCCACATCATTCGCACATTTGAACATCGCGCGCACTTGTCTACATGTACCTGACATCTACATTGTACATTACATAAAAACTGCTGTCGAACAGAAGCTGACAGACATGAAACCAATGTGATGTGAAATTCCAGAACATTTATTTATGCTCTGCTTTAAATTGTAATTTCTGTAATCTCTCAAGGAGTTTTAGAGGGAAGACGACTTCTTGGCCCATGGCCATTCGTGCACTGCCTTGTAAACATCACATAGGCTCACACATGACGCAGCTGATGCTCTCTGCAAGCATCATTTGATAACCCTCAAATTCCATCATATGATGCTGGACAGTATCCTCGATGAACCTGAAGGCCATGTGCCACTCGCAGACGTCTTCGTGTTTGTGTTTGATCAGCCTTAAAATAAAGAACAAAGTTAGATAGTAAAAGGGGCAAACAAACTGTCCGCTTACCTGCACAGATGCTTCATTATGTCATAAATCCGACTACTGTAGCGGCCTTTGACCAACTCGGCGAGCTTTTCATTCATTGTTATAATGTCCGTGTGATTGGGATACCTTTGATTGCTGACCCAGTCGGCTAGCATAGTTTTGTAGTTGCTGCCCAGCAGATAGTTTTGCAGCGTAGCTGGAGGCTGAGGGCGGGGCGCTGCTGCTGCTCCCTGTAAGTTCTGCGACACCTCAACCTCCGGGCGTGAGATATACTCAAAAATGGCAGGATGCACATGATTGGACACCTTGTCGATATAGTCCATCACAATTTCATCCGTTTGACCGCCACCGCGGTAGCGTTTGCTCAATTCATGTCGTAAGTGCTGCGCCCTATTTGAGGGCTTGTTCGCTGAGACTTTCGACAATGGCGCGGGAGCTGACGGAAACGGCAGGGACCTGCGAACAGCATTTTTTGGCTTTCTACGCTTTCTGCCACGCTGCTCCGAGTGCTTGGGCTGCAGATGTTCCTCCATATTGTCGAGCACCTCCTGCCGTATATCCTCCGGCAGCTGCGCAAGAACCTCCGGATCAACCGCTGTATTTTTGATCGATGTATTGGTGGAGTTCTTCCATTCTGATGACATGTCTAATGGTTGTTGGGGCTCCAAATCGACCTGCTGCTGCTGCTCAGCCTGCTCCAGCTCAGGCTGCGGTTCCTCTTGCACTTCCACGGCGGTGGTTTCAACTGCGTTTGGGTATGGACAATATTCATTTATTCACTTGTAAAATGTATAATTTGCCTTACTCTTTCGCTTCTCTGACATTTTCTCAAACATTTGCAGCAGAACGTTTTCCTTTTTCACTTCGTTGACGTCCGATAGCCGACTTAGATGTATGCCTATGCCACGCAGCTCATGCGGCGGCAAGTCAAACTCTTTCATCAGTTTGAGTACATTCGAAGTGATGATATTAACGTCATCAGTGGGATGTTGTAGCATTGCTGACTTGTTCAGGGTGTCACACACGCCGTGGCCCATAAATTTGGATGCCTCAATGGGCGCCTCAGCGGCACGCACCATGACCTTCAGCGTAACCGATTTGGCCTTGCGTTTTATGTCTGTTAGACGCGTCTTCACTTCCGCACTGAGCTGACGCAAAAATGTCTCGCACTCGCTGGCATTGCTGAAGCGTATGCCATAGTTGACCTCAGCGGAGACAGATTTGCGTTGCTGAAATGGACGGAGAGGCTATAAAATCGCAGGCTGTATTCTGTCAGCGACCAACCTGCTCATAGACCAGCGGACGTGTATCAATGCCAAGACTATGCTGCTGCAATGTCAGAGCCAACTTTTTTCCCAGCAGCGATTCCAGTTTCTCACGCGATGTGCCCTGCACATCGCCACAGTTGCGCAGGCCAGCCTGCGCCAGTTTGTGCCGCATGCTTGAGCCCACGCCCGGCAGCTCCTCCAGCGGTGTGGGCGCCATGTAGGCCAACACATCGATGCCGGGAGCGAGCAGGAACTGACCATTTGGCTTGGCCTTCTTGGTGGCCATGCGTGCAAGCAGTCTGCAAGGGTTAAACACATTAAGAGAGAACGCAATATAAATCTTTCTTTACGCACTTATTGCTGCCGACACCCGCAGAGCAGGGGCAGCCCGTCTTGCTGCGCACTTCCTCTCTGAGATGAGCCACAAATGTCATAACATCCACCTGGAGATCCGCCACCAGATCCGTGAGCTCCACGAACATCTCGTCACAGCTGACAGCCTCAATGTTCAGTGTGTACTGGGCCACAGTGTCGTACAGGGCAAAGGCCACCTCCTTGTAGCCCTCAAAGTCGTAGGGAATTGTCTTTAGTTCGGGGCACAGCTTCAGCGCCTGCCCCACGAACATGCCATTGCGAATGCCCTTGGCACGAGCCTCGTAGCTGCAGGAAGCGATCTCCGACAGCGACATTTTCTTCTCGAAGCCAGTGCGAACTTTATCCGCCCGGAAATTGTCGTGCAGCTGATGCTCGAACCGATCGGCAAAGAGCGCACGCTCGGCCTGGCGATCGGACTGTGGATGGACGGGCACATCCGTGGCTGCACTGCCACCCTTTGAGTGGGTCACAGCAATCGGCAGGCCGCGCCACTCCGGATGCGAGCGCAGACCAACGGACACGAAGAAACAATCCATGTCAATGTGCATGACGTAGTGGGCAGAGTCCGCATTCATCTCCTGCTTGCCGCTGAGCACTGAACGCAGTTCGTTTCGTTTGGGAAATGGCTGGTTGCCATGTGCCTGGCGCAGCTCGCAGACGTACTGCTTGAAGCCCGCTCCGAGTGTGGCAATGTGATGCAGTCGCGAATTCTTGTAAAATTCCCCGAGAAATGCCGGGTCGACGGCAGTGCGCACGCTGTGGGACAGAGTGGAGACATCTGCCACAGTTTTATCTGCCGTCTCCTTCTTGGGCGAGGTGGCAGCAACAGCCGCCAGCTGCAAGACCTTCAGAATTTTGCCCAAATCATTCTCTACAGGCGGCGGTTCTGGCGCAGTCTCAGACATGGACACTGCCATTGTTTCATTTGCTCTGCTCGTGTTTTTGCCCTTGCCAAAGACCAGCCTGGGCTGAGTGGTCTTCTGGTTGGTGTACAGCAAATATGGCTTGTAGTCCAGCACCCGTTTGTTTTCCACACAGTCCACGATATATTGCGCGCTTATGATTTTGCTCGTGTTCATGTTGCGCACCTTGACATCGGGCAGATTGGATGCAATGATGAACTTCGTGTGCGACCTTTCGTAGTGGTGAAATGTGCCGCCATGTACCATCATAATTTGCTTCAGCTCGTTGGCCGATGGATCCGTCAATCCATTGACGAATATCGAAATGCCTTGGAATAAATTCGACTTGCGAAATGGATCGCTGGCGGCAGCGAATTGTTCTTCGAGCTTGGACTTCTTGGCCTCGAAGTAGCCCTGAAAATGATTGCCACATAGTAAATTCATGCTTCCCGCTTCGGTTAACTGACTTACGCATTCGCCAAAGCCATTGTTGATCTCGTCGCCTGCCATTATATAGCAAAACTTTCAGAAATCGTAAAAGCCGCGGGAATTACTTGTTCGTTCCGCCTGACCGTTTTACAATACTGAATCCAAAATGGTGTAGTGTTGGTATATTTGGCAAGCAATCGATAGAAAAGCAGTGCTGTGTTGCTCTGTTTTTTCGCTGTGTTGTAAAATTTCTTTCGGTCAGATTGCAAATTTTGCAATTGTTTTGTTGATAAAAATGTGGAAATACGGACAGAATCAGGGCAACCAAGGGTCTGCAGGCGGCGGCGGAGGAGCACCAAACATGATGCCCATGGGCGGATTCATGCAAGGCGGCGGTGGCATGCAGCACGGCAATATGCCGCAAATGCATATGACGCCGCAGCAACAACAACAACAGCAGCAGCTAAACATGATGGGAGGACCGGGCGGCATTCAAATGAACCCCAACGCCGTAGGACCGACTGGCCTAATGCCAGGCATGTCGCCGCAGCACCAAATGCAGCAGCAGCAGATGATGCAAGGCGTGCCCATGTCCATGCCGCAGCAACAGGCCATGCAACAGCAAATGATGGGCCCGCAGCAGGGCGTAGGAATGGGCGGCGGCAGCACGGGTCCTCAACAACAGCTGCAACAACAACAGCAGCAGCAACCAAATCTTCAGCAGCAGCAACAACAGCAGCACAATGCTGGTGCAGGTGTGGCACCGGGCGCCGGTGGAGGCGGCGGCAACAATATGCTGGCCATTTCGCAGCCAAATCCGCACAAAGAGATTAACATAGTGCAGCTCTCGAGGCTGGGCCAGGAGACAGTGCAGGACATCGCCTCGCGCTTCCAGGAGGTGTTCTCCGCCCTGAAGAACATACAGCCCACCTCGCATCGTGACAACAATACAGAGAAGAAGGTGCAGGAGTACTTTCGCACGATACGCTTGCTCTTCAAGCGTGTGCGCATCATATACGACAAGTGCAACGATGCGGTGATGGACTACATGAATGCCGAGAGCCTCATTCCGTACAAGGACGAGCCGGAGCCTAGGATTGAGACTTCTCAGTGCGACGAATACCGCAAGGTGCTGCAGGAGAATCACGAATACATCGAGACTGTGAAACTGAAAAACCGCCAGCTGCGCGAGATAATTGACAGAACCCGCATCATCATTTGGGAGATTAACACAATGCTGGCGATGCGCCGATCCTAGTTTTTATACATGTTTAATTTTTCAATTCCATGCATTCTGTTCTCAATAAAAAATCAAAATCAAATTCAGCTGAGACCCGCCAACAGATGTTTTCTGTACAACCACTGACGTTGTCCAACACTTTCGCTGGCAGCGCAGAAGAAGAAGATTCTGTTGTGGGCGACAGCAGCGACTATTGCTGAAAATAATTACCTGTTAGCATCTAATTGCAATCAAATCAAACCCTAAACAACAGCAATCATGGCGAAAATGGCATTTCAGCACCAGGCAGGCACTGCTATGGAGTGTTTAAGCGTAAGTTGTCCAGCGTAGAAGTAGAATTTGAAGACGAGTCTCTATCCCGCATCACTCTTCCTCTGTGTGTGTGTGTGTGTGTGTGTGTATGTGCAGAGTGTGCTGTCGTGTGTGTATTGGTGAAATTGGGTCGCTGGAGCAAAAGCAAAAAACTTTCATATTTGAATGGAATAGATTGTAATGTATGTACTTTCCTTACAGATTCCCATAACGCTGCACAAGGAGAAGGACTACGATCAGGAAGGACGTGAGATACTCAAGTGTGGCTTCAAAATAGGTGGCGGCATCGATCAGGACTACAAGAAGAGTCCACAGGGCTACACGGACTACGTGAGACATTTTGAACCTAGCAGGTCGAAAATATTAATGTAATTCTCTATTCCGCAGGGCATATACGTTACGGAGGTGCACGAGGGAAGTCCTGCAGCGCGGGCAGGATTGCGCATTCATGACAAAATACTCCAGTGCAATGGCTACGACTTTACAATGGTCACACATAAAAAGGCCGTCAGCTACATCAGGAAAAACCCAATCCTCAATATGCTAGTGGCACGCAAGGGCGTCACCTCCACATAAGTGAAACATGGCCTCTAATCTAATACAGCAAGCAGTATTTAAGCGGCATATAAAACTATCTACTTCATTTGCCAGTCGTCTGTGCTAAGGATCTCTACGCTCTTTTGGAAACTATCCGAAATACTTAGATATACACTAAACATATGCTATATCCAACCTATCAAGTATGTAGGTACATACTCTATGCATATCGCACAAACATAGATACATACATACCCAAATGTAAGCCGTAAATGTAGCCAACTAGTAACGCTTCTTGTTAAATTCAATTACTTAGCCTTGGTTTAAGTAGTTTGTGAGGTGAGTGTTGTGTTATGTCCATTTGTGTGCTGTTCATCAGCTGCCTGATCGAATTGCCAATAGAACACATTGCCAAATACCGAATACAAAATGAAATAGAAGCGTAAACATAAACAAAAAGCCTAAACATACTCTTAGACATGCCACCAGATTTGATATAAACAATTTTTGTACTTTTATACGCTAACCCAGCAGCAGCAGCATTCCAAAAACAGAAAACTGAAACTCAAAAACAAAACAAAAACTAACGCAAAGTTGTTGAAACATACATAAATAGTACATACTTGTGATAAATATGCCCGTTAACTGTGCAGAGAGAGATTTGTATACATAATGCATACATAACTTAAGTTTTACAATTGAGTTTTTTTAATGTTAAATTGCATTTGAATAAATGTTTGCAAAAGGATTTGTCTAAACTGATCGTAAATGTATTAAATAATTGAGTACTTTGTGGCTAACCTTGGCGTTGACCTTAATTATGTAATTGCTGGCTGCCATTAGCAGCCGCTACTAATGAGCCGGCGCCATAAAAAGTCGAGTGTAACATTACATGACAACAGCGAGGAGCCTTCTTTATTACAAATGTACTTTGGATTTACATAATCAGACTACATACATACAAACATACGTACATCGTGATATGAGGCAGCCCTCTGGAGGCTGCGATTTGCACTTTCAAATTTTGGAAAGAAAAAAATATACACAGCTAGTTGCAAGAATATTTGCTACCTAAGTAAAATACAATAAATCAATTTTGGAATATGCGAGCGAGGCACGGCTATAGGTAGGGTAGGGTAATGGCGACACAGAGGCAAGATTCAAACGATTCTCTTTCCCATTGCGAACTACTTGTTGGCGTAGCCATTAGGATTTTGACTCTGCCAGCGCCACGTATCCTCGCACATTTTGTCAATGCCGCGATATGCCTTCCAGCCCAGCTTCTTCTCTGCCAGCGTGGCATCCGCATAGCAGGTGGCCACATCACCCGAACGACGATCCACCAGCACATAGGCGACCTTCTTGCCGGATGCCTTCTCAAAGCCATGCACCATGTCCAGCACAGAGTAGCCCACACCGGTGCCCAGATTATAAGCGAAGAATCCAGTCTCTGCAATGTTGCGCAGCTTGTCCAATGCCTTCACATGTCCCTCTGCGAGGTCCACAATGTGTATGTAGTCGCGCACTCCAGTGCCGTCCTTGGTGGGGAAATCACTGCCGTAGACACTCAGGCTAGCGCGTCGACCGACAGCCACCTGGGCAATGTAGGGCATCAGGTTATTGGGCTCGCCATTCGGATCCTCGCCAATGCGTCCGCTGATGTGTGCTCCCACAGGATTAAAGTAACGCAAGGAGACCACAGCCCAACGCTGTAAAGGAGGAATTTGTAAATATTTCTAAGTTGAAGACAAGTATAGGTACCTTATCGGACTTGCACAGATCCTTCAGTATCTCCTCTGTAAAATATTTGGTTTTTCCATAGGGCGATGTGCAATTGCCCGTGGGATGCTCCTCCGTCACAGGCAGGAACTTCGGCTCACCGTACACCGTGGCGCTGGAGCTGTACACGAACTTGAAGACATTGTTGTCGGCCATGGCCTCCAGCAGCACATTTGTGCCGGTCATATTGTTGTGGTAGTACTGCAGCGGTATGCGGCAGGACTCGCCGACCGCCTTGAGTGCGGCAAAATGGCACACCATGTCGATCTTGTGCTGTGGAAGCGGAAAACAAATGTTCGATTAGTCACACGAATCGATTTTTCCACCGGTAATTCCAGCGTCAGGTATGTGCCCAACTTCCGATGCTGTTGCAACTTTGCAGCGTCAGCCTACGTGGTCTCATGTCGATGCCAGCACACCAAGTTATGTGTAAGTGACCTCGCAGAGCGTGGCTACGCGCCAAGGTCGCGCACTTCATTGGCAGAGCACCACCAGTTGAGCAAACAAAACGAGAAACAAGAACAAGGCGGCGGCTGAGTGCGGTTGCTGATAGCGCACGCTCGTTCGACGCACACAGATAAGAATGATCGAAAACAATTGGTATCCAGTTGGCACTTGACGCAACCCACACCCATCCAGTGCCACGCTGCAAAATTGCTGACGTGCAACTTACCTCCTGGAAAATAGCGCGCACTTGATCCCGATCCGTGATGTCTGCGCGATAGAATTCCACCTTCTTGCCGGTTATCTCCTGTACGCGACTGAGTGCCTCTGGCAGCTTGGCGCCGCTGCTGTACGCATTGCAGAGATTATCCACGCAGATGACGTTGTAGCCAGCGTTGAGCATCTCCAGGACTGTGTGGGAGCCAATGTAGCCAGCTCCGCCGGTCACCAAAACGGTGGGTGGTGCCATTCTGCATGAGAAAAAAAGTGAAAATTAGGCCAAAGCAAGCGAAGTTCTTATTGACGTCACCAAAAATGTATTCTAGACGCCCCAGCAGCCAAGAGGCGTGCAAAAACAATGCTGCGCTGCGCTGCGCTGCTCTGCCGCTAACTGGGCTAACGGTGCTTGCCGTGCCGACGTGTGTGTATGTGTGTGTTGTGTTTTGTTGTGTCTGTGTGTTGTTGGCACTCACCTGTAGACGGGAAAACACGTTGCTATTGTCGATGTCAAAGTTAAGTAGCTTCTGTTGCTGCTGCTGCTCCTCCGACTGACCGTTGCCCTTGAATCTCGGAGGTGAATCGTTAGTTATGTCCACACACACACGCACGCACAAAACGCGCACGCACTGCAAAAGATGCTGTCTGTCTCGCTGTCTGGCTGCTGCTGCTGCTGCTACTTATGGCCAAAAGATCGCTGACCGCTGTTTGCCCGAGAGAGGAGCTTCTTTCACGTTGTTTTTGTGTGTGTTAACCCGTTTCCTGCCTTTGCCTTCGCCTCTTGCCTTTGCCGATTTGCTGTACGCGTCTGTTTTGCTGGGCGGCTGTCGGGTGACTGATTTCAGATGTTTTGCGAGTCGCAAAGTATTTAGCTTGCTTGTGTTTGTTCTCCCCTCAGCGTAAGCGTAGCGTTGGAACTGTTCAACTCCTCTTATCAGCCAGCAATGTCGTTTGATTAAGTCAATGCCAACTTGGCCGCACGTCAGCGCTACATGTGGTTTCTATGTACATGCAGTTGCAGCATTGTTGATGCATGGTTATAGTGGAATTAGTGACCTTTTTAACCAATTCATAATCATTTATGCAACATTTAAGCAGGCAAACCCCTCTCTCCAATCTCTTTCCATTTCCAAAAGTAAACAAAGTTGAGGAGCTGCCAGGGTGTCAGATTAATATCTATGCTGCCATATCGGTGAACGTAGCGTGTATGTTTACAACTACATACTACAAACAACGCCACTTTCATGCAACGTTCATAAGTGGAACTAGAGTTGGTAAGGGTCTTGTCTTGACTCGATCACAGCACAGACACAAACCGAAGGCTGGCCAACGGAATTTCAAAATTGAATGAAGATCGGTTAGTGGGTCAGCTTTTTGGGCTCTGGCATTTCCCCACTTGTCGCATTGAGAAATCTTTTCCATGCGTGCGTGCTTGTACGTTGTTGTATTTGTTGTGGCTGTGGCTGCGGCTGTTAGTTGTTGCTTGTTTTGCCGTTGACCCAAATTCCTTTCAAATCTTTAGTGATAAGCGGAAGTGCATGTACTAAATACGAAAAATTAGAAACGTTTGTGCGTATGAATGAGTGCGTGTGTGCGCGAGCTACATAGAGCTGGCTGCGACGTAATTAGAGCTTTTTTTTATGTTTCATTTACAACCTAATTGAGAATGTATTTGCGCAGCAACCAGCACAGGCCATGTATCGACTCTCTCCCTCTCTCTCTGAATGGAAATGCTCCTGGTTCTGAATGAATGTTGGAGTACTCCCTCCCGTACGCGTACATTAGTTTGAAATAAATATGAAATGTATGAATGGACGCTGCTGCGTGCCAGACAGAGAGAGACAGACACAGCCGAGTCCAAATATACTACAGATTATGTATGTACATATGTATGCACATAAATGTATGTACATACATACATATATACAAAAATCAAAATACACATAACCGGAAATGAGTTAGTTGAACTTCCGTCCTCGCACGACTCTGGCTGTGGCCTGCAATATTTTTTATGTGTGCGACAATGATTTGCACAGTCAGAGAAAGACAGAAAAGTCTCTCCTCAACTCAACGTTTTCTGTGGCCCCGTCGTTGTCGTTGTCGTTGTCGTTGTCGTTGTCGTCGTTGGACGCGGACGTGTGTGTCAGCTTGTCATGCCTACAGTTATGTATTTATGTATGTACATATGTACACTCCGTTCTATATACTACACACATTTATGTTCTCATCCAAGTGTATGACATTATGGAGCGAACATTAAGGCATCGAGGCATTATCAGTTTAACGAGTTATGGCATGGCAGATCTATATGAGATTTACGTTCTCTTTACGAAGATTTAGGTTTAAGCATGAGATTTAGGGCTTTAAAGATTGGCTATTGATTTGTGGGACAGCACTTTGGGACAGTTATCGGACTTTAATTCTCAAATATCATTGGAAAATTCCTAAAACTTTTGAGGAATTGCAGAATTGTTTCAGTGCGTTGGGTTATCCATCTTAATAAAAACCAATTTTCACATTATTGTTTTCGCTTTCATCAGCAGAACTTCATTCTTTTCATCTAATTTCGGGCTGTCAGGCTGTGGGAAGAGCCAACCCCACATGTGGCCGGACTCAGACCCGTACCCGGGAACGACCCCTCGATAATGTCTAAGGCTTGATTTCCATGCGGACTGGGTAGCGGACTGGGTGAAAGTGCTGCACTTTTCACATGCACATTGGGCATGGGCCCTGATGCGACTCTCCGACTTCAACTTCAACTTCGACTTTGACTCTCTCTCCCTCTGGGCCACCATAAATGGTTATCACAAATTAAGTAATTTACATTTTGTGGATATTTTTTCGCTTGGCAGAACCCGCATGGGCCGATCGCCTGCAGCAATGGGACTCCTCTCCCTCTGTTTTTGTCTTTCTATTTTTCAATTTCTAAATTGAAGATATGAAAAAATGAATTTCATAACGCACATGCAGCAGGGCAGATACATATGTGTAAGTAAATATGTATTTATGTATTTTTGTACATATAATTAGCCAATTATCTAAAACTGTTCTATGCGCAATCCAATGCTGAAGTAAGAAGCATAAATTATGAATATGAATATGGGTTATATGGGTATGGCATGGACTGTGTTGGCCATGACTAAGTGAAGTACATTTGCGCATGTGCGACAGACGACAGCCGACAGCCGGCGCTTCCACTAAAAAGTTTCTCACCAACAGGAGACACACCAACAACAACAACAACAACAGCAGCGGAGAGAAGATCAGGCAGCGACAACGACAACGTGAGAGATGACGAGCGAGCACGAGGAGCTGTCCGAAGCCGAAGCTCTGCGTACAGTGATCTCATTTCGTTTGGTTTTGGGCAAAAAACTACCACAAAAGCTTAGGCAAAGACGCAGCAAGGAGGGTGTGGTAGTGGCGGTGGTGGGGGGATCTCATCTCGAAACTTAGCCTGGCAACAGGCAGGCAGAATGATGAACACGTGTGCTGGCTGGCTGGCTGGCTGACTGCTTCTTACGGAAAGCAGTAGGTCAGAGGGGTGTGGCGGCTGTGGCTACAACTGTGCTCAGGGGCCAAGCACCCCTGAAACGATGTCGGGATCGCAGATCTTGGCACCCCATTTTTACACACACCTTTTACGAGCTATTGATGGCGGTGGAAATGTGCTTATGAATATGAATAGACATCGCTCTGCTCTACCTTCCCTACCTGAACAAAGAAGGAGAGAGTCCAGGTCCCCTCGTTAATGGCAACTTAATAGGACTTCTTCAGAGCAGGGTTAATGCGACAAAAGCGCATTCATACCATAGAGAATTTAATTAGTTGTCTTCTTCTGTTTGTTGCCTGCCTTCGGGGCTTGTTTATTGTTGCGAACGGCACGAGGGTTGCTCTACACCAAACAGGACAAAGGACTGGCTACATCTGCATAGGTGTACGTACTCCCATTGTCTGCCGGGGCGAAACATGAACGAACATGATGCAAAAACACACTTCAAGTTTCATGTTGTTCATCCTCTGCTGTAATTTATGCTTTGCCTTGCCTTGCCATGTTGCTGTGTTTTTCTAGGATTCCCGACGGGGAAAAGCCATGCTAAAGCAGTTTGTGAGTAAGGATTGTGTACTTTTCCCTGGATTATCTGTGTTTGTAACTAAAACAACTCTTAATTCCTTAAGGACACATTAATCAAGCAGCTTTACACCTTTGTACCTTTTCTCCCTTTATTCTCCTTGTTTTCCTTTCAGATCCATTCGCTGCCGCCATCTACCATGCGTCAGATATGGCAACCTTTTCCAACACTAACTACAAAAACAAAACCAGCAGCATGGTTGCAATTCCCTTGCATAAACAACAAGCCAAAAAAACTCGCAGAGAAATTGAATTTCTCAAGGCAATTTCCTCTGCGTTTCCGGAACAGTGCCAGGATCCGGACTGAGCGCTGTTTCCTTTTGCAGTGATATAATCGCCGTGGGAATTTCAACTGAAGGCCAATCGCAGCTCCACCCAGCCACAAACCAAGCTGCAGCACCTGGCTGTGATTGGAGCTGGAACCGAAGCTGAGGCTGAGTACCAGCCGTACAATGGAAAGTGCAGCACCTCCGGTGATTTTTTGTTGTTTGTGTTTCTCTATTGCTCTTTTCTCTGTGTGTGCGTGAGTTTCTTTGGTTGGAGTGCGTGAGTTTTGCTGCTTGGAGTTGTTGGGGCCACAGCTTTATGGCAGCAGCAGCAGCCGCATACCGATGCGTATCCGGGATTGTGAAATGTTTTCATTTCAAGAGACTGCGACTGCGACTGAGACGGAGACGGAGACACATTTACTGCCGTCTATCGTCTGCGAGCTGTCTGTGGTGTGGCTGCCTCTCTTTCACTTGCCTGCCTTTCGATACGTGCCGCATTTTAAACAACACTCCACAACAGTCCACACAATCGATGCAAAAAGAAGCAGAAGGAGTCGCGGAATGCGCTGCGATGAGCTAAGCCCGACTGAAGTTTCTCTCCCGGCCAGCTATTTCTGTATCTTGGCCATTTACAAAACCATTTCGGCCGATTCTATTTATACGCATTTTATGGCCGCCAATGAAAATTCCTTTATTGTTCAACTAAATGGAATAGTTTCGCTTTATTCATTGTTAATTATCAACAGATTTTGGGACAACAACTTTTAGGGTTTGGATTTTACATTTTGTTTCGAAATTGAACACAGATCCAATACTCTTATTGGGTGGACTTATTGTCTATATCTATTACATTTGAGTGTCAATAATGGCGGAGTAGGGAACTGGAATGGTTTCCCTTGGGAAAAACATTATAATACTCGTGGTTTTCGTGTGCCTTTATCATTTCCATTTCCGATCTGCAGTATACCTGAACAGGGTAGGGAGACCCGACCCCAAAGCCAATAAAAAGTGTCTTTAAATTTAGTTACAAAATGCATTCTATGCTGCCCCCTGGCTTTGGAGTGTGTCGGAGCTCGTCGCTCCAGTTGGCAGTTTGGACAAATTCTTGGAACACGCAACAGCTGCAGCTGCCACGAGGGGCAGTGGTAGTGGAAGGGGCATTTAGAAAGTCACCCCAAATCCAAATACCAAATACCAAATACCGATCCGATCCCCCGATTCTCATTCTCAGACCCATTCCAAATACGAAATCCAAGTGCCAACGACAGTCAGTCACATCACTGTATGTACATATGTACATATGTATGTATGTATGTATTTATGTATGAAGCGTGTATATACATATGCTGATTAGCACCTTGGCGCGAGCTCTGCTCTCCAATGGCATGTGCTATGTGCAGGCCATTACTTATGTAAGTGTTTTGCTGTCTCTCCTCTCCCTACTACAAATACATACATGCATATATGTATAATGTATGTATGCATGTGTGTTGGAACATAATCAATTGGTAAATATGTTTATCACGACTTTTTTCGGGCGCATAGCTTTCCTCTTGTGCTCCACTTTGGACTGGCGCAGGCAGGCCGTTTCATGAATGAAAATTGTGAGCTCCGCTCCGATCCGCAGGGCGCTGCTGGTGCTCCAGGAGAGGCCATTGCCACATGCCAACGGTGGCACACCCGTTCAGCGGTTGATCTGAAAGTTGGCTGCACATATCGCTTATCTGGCCGGGGGATCTCTTATCATTCGTTTACGACTGGAAAAGGGCTTTTGTAATGGACAAACAGGGCAGACAAATACCGCCATCAAGTTGTTTGGCATGCCTGGAATGTTGTTTGCCTTTACCCAAGCGACCCCACCCCACCTCCCACTCCCCTACTCCAACGCTGTCTCATTTTTCAGCTCCAACTACGACTCCAGTTCCAGTTCCAACTCCAGCTCCGATTCACCTTGGTGAGACAGCAAAACTACAAAATAAATGAAAGAGAGAAAGACAGAGAGAGACAGCGCAGGCGCAACCTCTCTGTCCCATAAGCTTACTCTCTCCCAGGCTGGCTTGCTCTCTGGCTGCATTCCAAGCTTATTGTACTCACCTTCAACTCCAACTCCATCAGCAGCTCCGACTCCGACTCCGACTCGTCTGTCGTCGGCAATAGTTCAAAGCTTTGTTACACGATATCGTTATGGCGTTGTGTAGGCACACAAAAAACGAACAACAACAACCATTGGAATGTGGAATGTGGTATTCATTGACAAAATCAGCTTTCAAAATGATCTCACTTGTATAAAAAACAGTCAAACCAAATCGAAAACCGGTTTCGTAGTCAAATCATATATTGGTGGAGTAGTCCCAAACATTTTTCGTTCGTTTTCCGTTTTTCCCCCCATTGCATACACAAACATACACGTATGCATATACATAATATATTTCACAGTTTTCAAGCACGTGCCTGGGCTCTGGTTCACATTTAATAACTATAATTACCATGTATGTCAAGTCGACCCGACCGAAATTATATGCCGCCAGTTAACACTTTAAACGAGAAACAAAAACCGAAAAAAGAGCAGGCGCAAATTAAAAGATATGCTCGCTGCTCGTGCAAGAGTGAGGGGAGAAAAAAAGGCTGAATAAAAATACCTTTCGTAGCCTAAATATTTTCACACGCGCGCCGCCGCCGCCGCCAACTAAAACCGAGCAGAGAAACAGAAGAGAGTGAGAGGTGGTGGTAGAGTGAGAAGAAGAATGATCTTACAGAAATAGCACACAATTAGTGGCGCTGAGGCTGAAGGAACTGTAAATATCTCAGACTTGAGACAGCTGCAGGTAGGGGAGGGCTAAGGGTGATGCAAGCACAGGGCAGGGTGGGCATGATATGATGATGATGATGAGCTGTGTGTAGGAGCAGAAGTTTATCAAATTCGTGTAGTAGTAGGAGGACCACACTTCTTACCTTAACAGCTTTAAAAATAGTCTCAACTGCTGCGCAGGCGCGCCCCACTGTACTCTCTCTCTCTCTCTCTCTGTCTTTTTCACTGTTTGCAACTGTATAAGTGTTGGAATGCCGTGCGCCAACAGCAACAACACAATCTCCATTTAACAATCATTATTTAGACATCGTTCCAGCTGTTCGACCGCACCGTGCCGTGCGAAGGGAGCCCTGGCGCTGCTCCCGCGATGATCACACGCTGCTGGGAATGGAATCGAATGGGGAATGGCTGTGAAAGGGGGGAACGGGAATGGGAAGCTGTGTGGGAAAGTATGCGCCTCTGCTGCTGCTGCTGCTGTCTTGTCTCCTCTGCTAGCGTCGGCTGTCCGCTGTGAAATAAACAAGAGCAACTGGGCATGGCGATGCTGTTGCTTCTGCTGCCACTGCTCTGCCGCAGCATAAAATTAGGTCAACATTTTTTCATTCACTCTTTTTTGTTGTTATATTTCGACATACATATTTTGTGTTTTTAAGTTTTTTAGGTATTTTTTCTCTCTGTTGTTCCTCCTCCTGCTTTTTGCTGTCTTTCTCCGAGTGTGTGTGTATGTGTGTTTGTGCCTCCAATTTTTTATTAACACAAACTTTCTATTGAGCTACCACCAAACAGCGCCGCACCGCGCCGCGCCGACGGACGACAGAGGAATAGTTTTTGTGTTGATACTCTTTTTTTTACCAGCCAGCCACACACGAACTTCAGCAGACCGTAGCATTAACCGTTAGTTTTTTATAGCACATTTTTATGGAATGGAATCGTCGTCAGCGGGGCAGGGCCTGCGGAACTTGATAATACAAATATCATTTTTAATTGACATTTATGATGTGGAATAAAACAAAAAACAGAGAAAAACGGTCAGCAACTCCTCTTTGTTTCCCCTTTTAAGTTTGAGTATGCAAATTCCCCCTCACAAACGAAACGAAATTGAAGTCAAGGAGGAAATCGCGTTGCCGCCGCAATGACGGCCAAAAACAGTCTGGGGTGCGTGCGTGAGTCCACGGACGATAGACTCTAATATTCTGTTGCTGTCCTTTTTTGCTGACATTACTCTTTACTTCACTTCACGAAGAAGGTGAAGGCAAGCTGCAAAACAAACGGGATCACTGTGCGAGTGTATGTGCGGGCCTGGTTTGGATACAAGAAGTACACCAGTCCAAAGAGTTGGTACTCTCCAACACTTATTACATTCCGATTCTCAAGTTTACAAGTTTACGTTATTACAAACTTATTAAACCATACTTAAAAAAATAATCCTACTATTTTTCTCTTCGAGTGTATTTTCTGCACTCCCTTTCACCCTTTTTGTATTGGTCTTTCGCTCGCCTGTTGCTTCGCCCTCCTTCACCCATGCCAGCCGCCTTGCACTGTAAAACGGTTCTTCCACTGGTTTTTTCTTCTTCCCTCTCTCTGTTCTTTTTCTTGATTTTGCTGCTCTGGTTTTTTTTTGTTGCGGCGGCTGTCTGGCAGCCGCATTCTATGCTGGTGGTTGACTCTTGTTGTTTTTGTCTCGCGTCTCCGTTTTATGCTGAGTGATGCAACTTTTTCAAGAGAGCGCGCTCAATTTATGTGTGATATGACCGTACTGCGTTCCCATTCCCATGAAGGTTAGTATTCGAATTCGGCTCGAAACTCCAGTCTAAGTCCACCAAAAAAGCAACAAAACTGGTATGCCGCTCAACCCACGCTCTCCGAGATTGAGCGAGAGAACGTACGTATGACTCACTCTTGAAAAATTTCAATTTGAATTTCTAAATAGACGCCACAGACACACACTGACACACGGGCAGAGACAGAGAAGCGCAGCATCCAATTTCAGCCAATAAATATTTTACTTCGCTGTGGCCTCGCTCCAAGCCGAAGATGGAGACGATCCCAAGTCGATCTTGTAACCAGCCAGCCTCTGCTTTGTGCTTCTCTGCATCTCTCACAGTGTACATACACACACAAATACATACAAGTACATATGTACATGTTACGTACAGATGTGTGTGCTGGCAAATTCCAAAGAGCTTACCCATGTGGACTGGCTCTGGCTTAGAGGTTAGAATCAGCAGCAGCAGCAGGAGGAGGGGCAGCGGCTCCTGGGATGTCAATGGAACCAACGACGACACAAAGTCTTTGGATGAAAACCAGTTTTTAAGACATTTTTCTTGTTGCTTTTCGCAAACGTGAGTTCTATTTGGCTTAATTCTTCGCACAGGAACGGAACCGCATTCCAGACTACACACTCACACAAAAACACACATACGAGTACAGCTACAGGGACACGAGTCGAGTTTAACTTTAATTTTTCCACGATGCCGCCGCCACTGCCACAGCAGACTTTCCTCTTCGCTTCGCTTTGCTCCTCAACATTTCGATATTTGAACTTTCTGGAATGCGGTCGCACAAGTTTTGGTGTGGCGTGTAGCCCCGCTGTCTGTCTGTCTGGGGCCGCCGTGTCCAAGGGGAGTCGTCAGTCTCCTTAAAGTTCGAAGAGAGGGGACGCCACTGTTGTTCTTCTGCCGCATACTTTATTGCATTTTAATATTTACTGTTCACACTATCTATTTAATTTGTTTAATATTTTAAACATCCGTTCGAGAATGGTTTTTTTTTTTACTGAAGGCTGCGCAGCGTACAACGCGGAGCGAACACGACCATTGCGCTGCAGCTAGATTTACTGAATGAAAATTTGTCTTTTCTTTTACTCGATCTTTCGTTGCCAGCGTCTTTTTCAGAGACCGAGACAGCGGCAGCGCAGCGGCAGCGGCTGAGCTGAGCTGGGGCAGCGACTACAGCAGAATCAGCGCCGCGGCAGCGCCTGCGCAGTTCGAAAAAGTTGTACGTCGCGTGTTAGTGTGTGCGTGTGTGTGCTGTATCTGCATTTGTGTCCGTGTGTCGTATCGGTGTGCTAGAAAGTTTTTTTTTATACTAAAACGAACCACACTATGTTTTCTCGTGCTGCTCCATTCCATGATGTTTGACTCGTAGCACAAGAAACTTACAAAACGGCATTCCACAAACAAACTGACACTGGCCCCTGCCCCTGTTCATGCCACAGACCCCCCGCCTGCCTACCCTCCCTTCCACTCTGCAGATCTTATGAACCGATCCAAGCCGGCAAGAAAAGTATCTGTATCTTTGGCTGCTATATCTCGGTGCTGTCGCTGTGTGCTACTTTTGCATTTTGTCGCAACATCTTTCTTTCGCTGGGCTTGCATTTGTTGCCTTTGGAATAGGGCTTAATTGTCTACTACTAATTCTACTACTATTCCGTTCTACTGTTCTTTTTTGTCTGTATTTTGCTCATGCTAATCCCGCACTTCTTCTCATTCATCGCCCATTCTCCTGCTCATTCATGCAATTCGCCTGCTCCTTCTTGCCCTTGCCTTCTTCTACTTTGTGATTTTGTTTTATGTTGTAATCTACGAACATTAAAATGTTTTTTTGTGACTTTCGTAAGTGTCTTTTTTTTTGGAATGTGTGTTGCGTGTGTGTGTGTGCGTGTAGCTGGTGGCGTTCTTTTTTGTAAACAACCATCAAACGCACACACATCGAACTCTAACAAAAATTCGTCATTGAACGGTAAAAAAAACAAATTCCAACGTGTTTGACTTTGTCTCTGGCTCCATCTCTGTCCCACCCGCTGCCACCGTCATTCGCTTCGTCCCGCTCTAGTGTGTGGATTTTTTCAATTACAAGTTTGTAAATGGAATTTCTGAACTTTATGTGAACGAGGTCATTTACAGCGAAAAAAACAAACACACACACACACACACAAAAAGCAAAAACATAGCATTGTCGTTGGGCTGGGGAGGGGTGTGTTAGGAGGGGGAATTTTTGTTATATTCGTCATGAGCTTATTTATAGGAAATTCCATAGGCCTTACATGTTATTTATGTGGATGAGGATCGCTGGCCGTTGTGGGGGGTGTGAGGAATAGGAGTGGCAGTGGCAGGGCATGTCGCGTCTGACATGCATATCAAATGCCACAATGGGAGAGACCCCAAAGTTAGCTGGAGATCGTATTGGAATTGGGAATTGGAACTGGAACTAGCTCGCAGAGCTGATCGTTGCCATGGAAAATGTCGTACAAGTTTTATGACAGCTACCTGGAAATGGTCTTAAGTAGCTTGGAATTTATGGAATTTCCTGCAACTTTCTACACAATCAAAAACTACAAAGTGCTGTCGAGAATTCCTCATAAATTTGTTCGATTTGTCATCGATTTTGCAGCTTTAGTTTTGATTGGCATTCGATTCCTTGAATTCAGCAGGCGCCAGGTGTATTTAGGATCGCATATAATCCAGCCTGCCAACTGTTCCAGTATCAATGCAATCCATTGACAAGCTCGCAGCCCCCCATCCACCAGCCACGTAAACGAAGGCCCCACACGCTTAGTGCACGATCGTCGGAATGATAAGGCTTACGCGGCGGCTACTTGACGCAAGAATTTCTGGAATTTCGAAAGTGTACACACACCTGTCCCACAACAGAGGTGCAAAGGCAGAGGAGAGGCCCAGACAAAGCACGCGCTCAATCTACAGCTTATCAAAATGCCCACGATAGGCCCATTCAAAGGCCAAACTATAAACGACATGTGATGCCATCGCCAACAAGCCTACCCCCCGAGCATACCCACTCCATAGCTGGTGTGGGGCGGTACATGAAATGTTCAATTTTTGAGTCACATGCTTAACACTTACCACAGCGCAAGGAAGGGAGCGAGCGAGCCAGCGGAAATTGTAATTTCCATTTCTTGCTGCAAGAAAACAAAACAAAAAAGCAGAAAGAAAATCACCAACAAGAAAACATTTCCTAATCAAAGGCATTTTGGACTTTCGACTGTTTGTACTATTTACAACATCAACAGCAGCGTCAAGACCAAATAAATAATTAATTCACCTTATCAGCGGGCGAGTCCCGTCCACTCGAAGAGCCACCCCACCCCACCTATGACGCGAAGGCATCGGTATGCCGACGGCCGTTGCATCGTCAACGTACGGTACCGGGCCTCAAGAATTACCCCCCCCCCCCCCCCCCCCCCCCCCCCCCCA